TTACACCGTATCGTTTGTAATGTAAAATGAAAAATTACCAATAAAATAGGCTTCATGCTCTCAAAATAAAATATATTCACGCTATTGATTGAGCCATAGTCCCGCCGCTGAAGGGTTGCCAACTGTACGTTATACTGTCTATATGATAACTTTATTTATGTCCATGTATTTCATACTTTGTGGATTTTTGTTTAGTATATTTTGAGTATTCTGTATTAACCCTGGAAATATTCCTTGCTGGGATGTATTGATCTGGTGCAATTACTGGCAGCTCACACGGTGAGGCCAGTATTACTGCCTAAGGTAAATATGAGCTCCGAGATGAGGTCAATATGACCTGCTGGGGGGAGATTGAGAGGGCAATAATGTGAGATGATCCTACCATGATCTGGGAGCCACCGACCTGCTTCTCCAAGACCCAGGGAGCCACCGACCTGCTTCTCCAAGACCCAGGGAGCCACCGACCTGCTTTTCCAAGACCCTGGGAGCCACCGACCTGCTGTTCAAAGACCCTAGGAGCCACCGACCTGCTTCTCCAAGACCCAGGGAGCCACCGACCTGCTTCCCCAGAACCATGGGAGCCACCGACATTCTCTTCAGTGACCCTGGGAGCCACCGACCTGCTGTTCAAAGACCATGGGAGCCACCGACCTGCTTCCCCAGAACCATGGGAGTCACCGACCTACTCTTCAGTGACCCTGGGAGCCACCGACCTGCTTTTCCAAGATCCTGGGAGCCCCCAACCTGCTTCTCCCAGACTCTTGGAGCCACCGACCTGCTTCTCCAAGACTCTGAGAGCCACCGACCTGCTTCTACAAGACCCTGGGAGCGACCGACCTGCTTCTACAAGATTCTGGGAGCCACCGACCTGCTTCTACAAGACCTTGAAAGCCACCGACCTGCTTCTACAAGACTCTGGGAGCCACCGACTTGCTTCTACAAGACCTTGGGAGCCACCGACCCGCTTCTCCAAGACTCTGGGAGCCACCGACCTGCTTCTACAAAACCTTGGGAGCCACCAACCTGCTTCTCCAAGATCCTGGGAGCCACTGACCAGCTTCTCCATGACTCTGAGAGCCACCGACCTGCTTCTACAAGACCTTGGGAGTCACCAACCTGCTTCTACAAGACCCTGGGAGCCACCGACCTGCTTCTACAAGACCTTGGGAGTCACCAACCTGCTTCTACAAGACCTTGGGAGCCATCGACCTGCTTCTACAAGACCTTGGGAGCCATCGACCTGCTTCTACAAGACCTTGGGAGCCACCGACCTGCGTCTCCAAGATCCTGGGAGCCACCGACCTGCTTCTACAAGACTCTGGGAGCCACCGACCTGCTTCTACAAGACCCTGAAAGCCGCCGACCTGCTTCTACAAGACCTTGGGAGCCACCGACCTGCGTCTCCAAGATCCTGGGAGCCACCGACCTGCTTCTCCAAGACTCTGAGAGCCACCGACCTGCTTCTACAAGACCTTGGGAGTCACCAACCTGCTTCTACAAGACCTTGGGAGCCACCGACCTGCTTCTACAAGACTCTGAGAGCCACCGACTTGCTTCTCCAAGACTCTGAGAGCCACCGACCTGCTTCTACAAGACCTTGGGAGCCACCGACCTGCTTCTACAAGACTCTGAGAGCCACCGACTTGCTTCTCCAAGACTCTGAGAGCCACCGACCTGCTTCTACAAGACCTTGGGAGTCACCAACCTGCTTCTACAAGACCTTGGGAGCCACCGACCTGCTTCTACAAGACCTTGGGAGCCACCAACCTGCTTCTACAAGACCTTGGGAGCCACCGACCTGCTTCTACAAGACCTTGGGAGTCACCAACCTGCTTCTACAAGACCTTGGGAGCCATCGATCTGCTTCTACAAGACCTTGGGAGCCACCGACCTGCTTCTACAAGACCCTGGGAGCCACCGACCTGCTTCTACAAGACCTTGGGAGCCACCGACCTGCTTCTACAAGACCCTGGGAGCCACCGACCTGCTTCTACAAGACCTTGGGAGCCACCGACCTGCTTCTACAAGACCTTGGGAGCCACCGACCTGCTTCTACAAGACCTTGGGAGCCACCGACCTGCTTCTACAAGACCTTGGGAGCCACCGACCTGCTTCTACAAGACCTTGGGAGCCACCGACCTGCTTCTCCAAGACTCTGGGAGCCACCGACCTGCTTCTCCAAGACTCTGGAGCCACCAACCTGCTTCTCCAAGACTCTAGGAGCCAGCAACTTGCTCTTCAATATCCCTGGGAGTCACCATCCGGATCTGATGGAGCAGAGCGCGGTCTCTGGCAAATGCAGTTTCCGTGGCGTAGTGGTTAAGACGCTCGCCTGGCGTTTCGTGAGCGCTTTGTTCTGGGTTCGTATCCTGGCCGGGGAGGATTTACTGGGGCAAATCCTTAACTGTAGCCTCTGTTTAACTCAACAGTAAAAGGGGTACTTGGTTTTTAAACGATTTTTCCGTATCGTATTCCGTATATTGGATCGTATTCCAGGGACCATAGGATTAAGGACTTGCCCGAAACGCTACGCGTACTAGTGGCTGTACAAGAATGTAAGAACTCTTGTATATATAAATAAATCAATAAAATTAAATGGGAAATCAACAAAACAAGGACCCAAAACCTTTCGGAATTACAAATGGGGTATTTGTAAACATGGGATATCGGGAAGAACAAATGGAACATGTAAGTACGATCACCCTAGAAAGTGCAGAAACCTCCTTAGTACAGGTAAATGTACCAAAAGCTGTGAATTCTTCCACCCAGAAATTTGCAAGAACTGTTTGTGGTCTCTGTGGTGTAGTGGTAAGACACTCGCCTGGCGTTCCGCGAGCGCTATGTCATGGGTTCGTATCCTGGCCGGGGAGGATTTACTGGGCGCAAATCCTTAACTGTAGCCTCTGTTTAACGCAACAGTAAAATGTGTACTTGGATGAAAAAACGATTCTTCGCGGCGGGGATCGTATTCCAGGGACCTGCCCGAAACGCTACGCGTACTAGTAGCTGTACAAGAATGTAACAACTCTTGTATATATCTCAAAAAAACAAACTCTTTAGACAAGAAAGAGTGCTTCAATACGGAATATCCAGCTTTTCATATAAGAGGTATCAGGCGATTAGAACCGACAAACCGTCACTATGAAAACAGCCACTACTCTATCGACCAGGATGTTTTTTTTAGCAAGAGATAGAGGAGAAGAAGGGCTAAAAATGACCAGACTCTACCACCAACTCGGTCAAATGCTAGAGAGGACGCAAACACAGTGGCCTCCTTACCAGAGCCTCAGATATTAACACCAAGTAAGGCTTCCAGCACTTCCACTAACACGATAACATCATTTATATTTGCCAAAATCCAGGGTATAAAAACACGCAAATCTAACAAAGTTCATTTTATAGATGGCCTCTTACATGAGGCAAATGCAGTGTTTGTAGCCCACATGGAAACTCACACAAAGGACTACCATGATGGTGAAATATGGATCTCAGAGTACAATCTTTTCAGATGTGATAGGAAACACAGGGTACAGGGTGGTGTCAGCCTCTGTATCAAAGACACACTCATCTGTACTGTACTGCTAAACACCACAAACAATATGGTGGAAGTGCTGATAATCAAAATAGAGATCTTAAATGTAGTTATTGTCCTTGTATATAAGTCACCGGAGGCAAATCATAACAACCTAATTTAAGTTCTGACAAACATGGGGAACTGCAAAAAAGCATCAAGAACTGCAATAAACCACTGTCGCAAGCCTTTCACATTCTTTGGAGACAAGCCTAGATACTGGCATTATCCCTGACATACTAAAAACAACAGAGATAGCACCACTCCATAAAGGAGGAAATAAGGCAGAGGCACAAAATTACAGACCGAAAACACTAACATCACACATCATAAAAATCTTTGAGAGAGTGTTGTGCTCCTGGGTACTGTGCTTGCTCCAATACTTTTTCTCATTCTCATATCGGACATAGACACAATCTATACGGACAATCTATAGCTACGGCCACAATCTATAGCACTGTATCATCCTTTGCAGATGACACTAGGATTTTTATGAGAGTAGACAACATAGAGAGCACAGCGAACCTCCAATCAGATGTAAATCAGGTCTTTCAATGGGATACAGAAAATAATATTGTATATAATGAAGATTAGTTCCAGCTCATGCGCTACGGAAAAATTTAAAATTTAAAAGCAGTAACCACGTACAAAACTCAGCCAACTCATAACATAGAACGAAAAGGCAATATAAAGGATTTGGGTGTACTGATGTCGGAAGACCTTACCTTTAAAGAATACAGTAAAGTTGCCGTCTCAACTGCACGAAAAATGAAAGGGTGGATAACGAGATCTTTTCACACTAGAGATGCCGTACCAATGATGATACTCTTCAAGACGCTAGTGTTCTCTAGAGTGGGGTACTGTTGCACAATGACAGACCCTTTTAAAGCTGGAGAAATTGCTGACCTGGAGAGCGTGCAGAGATCCTTTACTGCTAGAATCCACTCAGTAAAACATTTAAACTATTGGGACCGACTAAAGTGCCTAAATCTGTATTCTCTTGAGCGCAGGCGGGAGAGATAAATAATAACTTACACATGGAAAATAGTAGAGGGGCTGGTCCCAAACCTGCACACAGAAATAACATCACATGAGACCAGAAGACATGGCAGGATGTGCAGAATACCCCCGTTGAAAAGCAGAGGTGCAACAGGTACTCCGAGAGAGAACCCTATCAACATCAGAGGCCAGAGACTGTTCAACACGCTTCCACTACACATAAGGGGCATAACTGGCCGACCCTTCACGGTGTTCAAGAGAGAACGCGATTAGCACCTTCAAAGGATACTTGATCAATCAGGCTATGATTCATATGTCAAGCTGCGAGCAGTTGCGTCCAACAGCCTGGTTAACCAGTCCAGCAAAGAGGAGGCCTGATCTATGACTGGGCCGCGAGGACGCTAAGTCGCGAAAATACCTCAAGGTAACCTCAAGGCAAGGATCTTCCGTGACCCTGGGAGCCACCGACCTGCTCTTCCGTGACCCTGGGAGCCACCGACTTGCTCTTACGTGACCCTGGGAGCCACCGACCTGCTCTTCCGTGACCCTGGGAGCCACCGACCTGCTCTTCCGTGACCCTGGGAGCCACAGACCTGCTCTTCCGTGACCCTGGGAGCCACCGACCTTCTCTTCCGTGACCCTGGGAGTCACCGACCTGCTCTTCCGTGACCCTGGGAGCCACCGACCTGCTCTTCCGTGACCCTGGGAGCCACCGACCTGCTCTTCCGTGACCCTGGGAGCCACAGACCTGCTCTTCCGTGACCCTGGGAGCCACCGACCTGCTCTTCCGTGACCCTGGGAGCCACCGACTTGCTCTTACGTGACCCTGGGAGCCACCGACCTGCTCTTCCGTGACCGTGGGAGCCACCGACCTGCTCTTCCGTGACCCTGGGAGCCACAGACCTGCTCTTCCGTGACCCTGGGAGCCACCGACCTTCTCTTCCGTGACCCTGGGAGTCACCGACCTGCTCTTCCGTGACCCTGGGAGCCACCGACCTGCTCTTCCGTGACCCTGGGAGCCACCGACCTGCTCTTCCGTGACCCTGGGAGCCACAGACCTGCTCTTCCGTGACCCTGGGAGCCACCGACCTTCTCTTCCGTGACCCTGGGAGTCACCGACCTGCTCTTCCGTGACCCTGGGAGCCACCGACCTGCTCTTACGTGACCCTGGGAGCCACCGACCTGCTCTTCCGTGACCCTGGGAGCCACCGACCTTCTCTTCCGTGACCCTGGGAGTCACCGACCTGCTCTTCCGTGACCCTGGGAGCCACCGACTTGCTCTTCCGTGACCCTGGGAGCCACCGACCTGCTCTTCCGTGACCCTGGGAGCCACCGACCTGCTCTTCCGTGACCCTGGGAGCCACCGACTTGCTCTTACGTGACCCTGGGAGCCACCGACCTGCTCTTCCGTGACCCTGGGAGCCACCGACCTGCTCTTCCGTGACCCTGGGAGCCACCGACCTGCTCTTACGACCTGTACGTTGAGAGGTGGCAATGACTTCATGTTGAGAGGTGGCAATGGCTGCATGTTGAGAGGTGGCAATGACTTCATGTTGAGAGATGGCAATGACCTCATGTTGAGAGGTGGCAATGACCTCATGTTGAGAGATGGCAATGACCTCATGTTGAGAGGTGGCAATGACCTCATGTTGAGAGATGGCAATGACCTCATGTTGAGAGGTGGCAATGACCTCATGTTGAGAGATGGCAATGACCTCATGTTGAGAGATGGCAATGACTTCATGTTGAGAGATGGCAATGACCTCATGTTGAGAGGTGGCAATGACCTCATGTTGAGAGGTGGCAATGACCTCATGTTGAGAGATGGCAATGACCTCATGTTGAGAGATGGCAATGACCTTATGTTGAGAGATGGCAATGACCTCATGTTGAGAGATGGCAATGACCTCATGTTGAGAGGTGGCAATGACCTCATGTTGAGAGGTGGCAATGACCTCATGTTGAGAGATGGCAATGACCTCATGTTGAGAGATGGCAATGACCTCATGTTGAGAGATGGCAATGACCTCATGTTGAGAGATGGCAATGACCTCATGTTGAGAGGTGGCAATGACCTCATGTTGAGAGATGGCAATGACCTCATGTTGAGAGATGGCAATGGCTGCATGTTGAGAGGTGGCAATGACCTCATATTGAGAAAAATTGGACTTCAAAAGCTGTGTATGAATAATGTCAAACCATTCTTGGAAAACTAGGACTCACTGTCAAGACATCATATATGCGCTAGACGGTGTTTATCTTTCAAGGAGAAGGTTGCCAGCTGTTGCAGATCCAGTAGAGGAAGTTAACTAAAACATTAACACGTGATGAGCAATGTGACAGTGTCAGACCCCGAAGGAAGTATTTAAACAGGAATTTCTTCAAGTATTTTCCTATTTAATAATACATCTTCAGAAGGATGGGTTTACGGTAGAAGAAGAAGAAGATGAAGATGAAGCCACCCAAAAGTTGGCACGGGGATGAATAGCCCGTAAGTGGTGGCCCTTTTGAGCCATTACCAGTATCAAGAGCTGATACTGGAGATCTGTGGAGGTGCAACTGCACCCTGCGTGACGGGAGATGTCTCCCGGACCAAGTGTGTGGTCCTGTGGTTTACGGTTCAGTGGGTGTGGATATAAACGCAGGAAAGAGGTGAAGTGAGGTACAAAGTCTTTAATGAGATAATGAGTATTAATGAGTTAAGTGTGTATCAATAATCCTACAAAAATCTACTTTACTACTTTAAAGTCGTAAAGTACCTTACTGATCTTTAACTTATCAACCAAAAATTAATTTAGATTATACAAACCACAGCTAATGTTCAAATTCCATGATTTTGTAATCTGTACTAAAGCAGATTCAATAAGGTTCCTATTGTAAAATGCTTTTACAATTCGTTATTTATGAAAACTTCTCCAAATCAATTTGGTGAAAACTTTCTGACAAATGAACAAACAAAACATTAGACATTTGGTCATGTCTTACAGAGTATTAATGTTTCAAATTGATAAATTTCAAATCTTTGGACGTTTCGTCTACATAGAACCTATTACAATCTCTACAAGGTATTTTGTAAAGACACAATTATCACTACGAGGACTGTTTCTAAATAATAGTTTTCCAACAGTATTTTCGTAATTAAACAATACATGTATATCAACACGAGTCAAGGCCTTGACAATATTGTCAAAGCTTAAGGAATGGCCCTGAATGGAATAAGACAGAGAAATGCAAAAAAGATAAATCCTTAATAGCAGCAGTGGAATCTTAAATAACAAAGGAATAATTTTCAACAACAGAGGAATGTTAAATAACATCAGATAAATTCTCGAGAACATCAGGGGAATGCTCTATAACAACTGAGAAATGTTCGATAACACTTGAGGAATGCTTAATAACAGCAGATGAATGCTTAATAACAGAGGAATGTTCAATAACATTCGATGAATGTTTAATAATAATAGTGGAATACTCAGAAACATAACTCCATAACCTCCATAACAACAGAGGGATATTAAGTGACCACTGACATATGCTCAATAACAACAGAGGAACGCTCATCAAAAATTGAAGAAAGTTCAATGATCACTGAGAACTGCTCCATAACAACTGAGGAATGGTCAATAACATCAGAGGTATGCTTAATAACAACAGAGGAATGCTTAATAACACCTAAAGAATGTTCTATAACAACAGTGAAATGTTCAATAACAACAGAGGAATGCTCAATACTGAGAGTGGAATGCTCAATAATAACAGTGGAGTGTTCAATACTGAGAGTGGAATGCTCAATAATAACTGTGGAGTGTTCAATACTGAGAGTGGAATGCTCAATAATATCAGTGGAGTGTTCAATACTGAGAATGGAATGCTCAATAATAACTGTGGAGTGTTCAATACTGAGAGTGGAATGCTCAATAACAACAGTGGAGTGTTCAATACTGAGAGTGGAATGTGCATATTGATCGCTGGTGCGTTAAGCGTGACATCACAGTTCCATTGACGTTTATGACAGCTCGTTAAATCAATGATGGGGAGTGATCTCGAGGAACTTTAGTAGCTAATTACTTGGCGTCATTTGAATTTCTAATAGAGCTCTTAAGTCTTGGTGACGACGCAGGAGAGGCGCTTAATATAACAATTACGCTAAGGTGCTCCCGGAGTGGTCGTTAGTGAGTGGGCCGGGAGACCCGATCTCAAATCTTCTCTCTGCCGTGTTGCATAATTTCTCCTCACTAATGATATTAGACTAATCTCGCCTGGCACTCTCTTCTGAGCACTTTTTTAATGCTGTGGTTTATATTATCTTGAGGGAGTAAAGCTCAGTGCTTATGATATCAAAATTCTGATATCAAGAGTGATGAATGTTATAATATCTATCTTGTCCTTTATTAAATATTTACATGTTTAATATTTATTATTGTGTACTTGTTTACACAATAACAAATATAAATAGTAATGAATGTGACTGAAAGAGTGAGATCAATAATTCTAGCGCGAATCCTCTCTATCTTCCTTACATTTTCTTCACTTGAGAAGGAAATTGAACAATGAACTCTTCAAAGTTAATTTTCACAGTGTTATTTAGTCTTACGCTTAGAGATATGTCTCGTTAACATTGTCTAAGGCAGAGCTATAATGATTTAAAATTGATTGATGAAGATTAAGTCACCCAAAAGGTGGCACGGGCATGAATAGCCCGTAAGTGGAGGGTGTTTGCAGCCATTACCGAACAGGTAATGAGCAGTGGATGGATGGGGGCCTCCATGGTCGCTCACAGTGTATGTCGTGGAGGAGGCGTGACGGTTCAGGCAGGTGGCGGGAGGCGTCTGGTATCCTCAGCTTAATTTGGTGTTTCTTCTTCGTGGTGCCGTCGACCGGGTTGTCGTCGGGGTCGTCGCGGAGTTCAGCTGTCCGTCGAGGTAGGTCTTGTAGTAGTCGAGGTCGTTGTATTCCTTGCGATGTATTGAGAGGTCGATGCAGCACTGCATGGTTTCGGCGTCGACGTACATGGGGTCTCGGTAGGAATTCATATTGTCGTTGTTGTTGTTTTAGATTTAGCTATTCAGAACAAAATGTCGATGTAGCACGGCCTATAGTGATCCCGTAATTGAGCTCGGTTATTCGCGGTAACCTTGTTACTGTGATATTTGGGTCAAAGTTTTGCATTGAGGTGGCCTTCTTTTCTCCCGTTTCTTTTCCTCTTTTATTTTAGCGCACTGGCTTTAATAACATTATCATGGTGGCGGATATAGATGCACAGTGTACACTAGTGTGTTCCATGCATCCCTCAACTGCTTTTCTAATCATTGTAGTCGCTGTGGAATATGCATCTAATGCAGCTGCTCCTGTGGAATGAATGTTGAGTTTGATGCGCAGGGCTTCAGTAGCTTCACATTCCAGTAAGTAGTGCAATAGTGGCGCCTCTGCATCTGTTCCACAGATAAGACACTCTTTAACTATTGGGTTTATTACCTCCCAGCAACACTTGTAACCAAGTCTGAGTCTGTGTATGACTACTGCAATGTCTCTGGGTATCTTTTTGCCAGGCTTGAATGAGGAGTAACCAGTGGCTTGTTCGTACCACATCGCAGTGGATCTCCCTTACGCTACTTTGGCTCTGTGGCGACTTTTGATAGTTGGGAGTATTTTCTTCATGATTTGCTCCTTAATCTGTGAAAAACGTGGATGTATTTTAACCTGTACAACAGGTAGAGCAGTGGCAGTTTTTGCTAGTGAGTCTGCCTTGTCATTACCATCTATGCCAATGTGACAGCCCTAGATTATGGGCTTCTTTTTCTATATGCAGGATTTCTATGATGAGTTGTATAATATCTCTGTGCTGGCTGGATAACAATGCCTGGAGCGAAGATTTAGAGTCTGTATGATTGATGACATCATGTAAATTATTCTCAGTTGCATAATTTTTGGCCTCCTTCAGGGGATATAATTCAGTTTGCAATGTTGAGCACCCACTATTCATGCTCCAGTAAGCTTCATAGTTGGTAGTGTAAACTGCTGCCCCAGCAGAACCTTTTTCTTGATCAACTGATCCGTCTGTGAAGATGTGAGTCGTTGTAGGTCTTGAGAAGATTTCCTTTTGTTGTTCTATGACTGCTTTGAGCCTCTGCGAGTCACATGCTGATTTTTTAACTGGTAATCCTTCGATGATTATTTTTAGACTCGATTCTTCCCATGGAGGAGGCTGCCGAAAGTGTTGATATAGTCTATCTTCCCCTTTGTTTTTAGTGGTCCATTTAAATTCAACTATTCTCTAGAATCTTGACCAGATTATCCGTCCATGCACTTGTTCTATATTGAATATTTCTGTGAAGCGATCTGTGTATACTGTCTCTGAATGACAGTCTGGCGGTGGTTCCAACAAGTTTGCTGTTATGGTGGCTATCCTTTGTTTGATTCTGTTTTCTAAGGCTGGTAAGTTGGTTTTCATTCTTAGATTCTCTCGACGCGTCCATATAGGTGCTCGCATATAGGTGTTCTGAGAGCTTTCGAAACATTTCGAAACATTTCCAGTTTCTTCCATTGGTTATCACTGAGGGATGTAAGAGCAGGAGCAACACAGTCAATGAGTGACCTAACTGCTTGAACGTAGTACATTTTGAGTACTGGTAGAGATGCACCATCTCTAAGACTTGTCATGCAGCGCAAAGTTGAGTTTCTGGCTTTACAACGTTGCCGAAGATATTCAATTTCTTGAGTGAATTTCAACTTGCTGTCGATTTTGTGTCCAAGGTATTGCAAACAGGTAACTCATTCAATTTCATGTCCTTGTATTGCGAGTCTGATGTCTTGAGTTCTCATTTTAACGGCCATTGCTTTAGTTTTATTGCTGTTTAATTTCACTGTTATGCGTTCTGCTTCTCTGCTGATAATATCTGGGCCTTTTTGTGCCTGGTTCCTGGTGCCTCTATGATGATGTTAAATTAACAAATGAACAAATCCACTTGGGCCGTGATGAGGGCTCGACCCTACGTCTGGGATGATCCCAGACGTGCCTCAGTCGACTGAGCCACGACGTGGTAAAAAGATGTGTATTAAAGTAAGGGCGAAGAGGTAGAACATTTGGTTGACAGAGCCCGGGTGCGCAGGACAACTGTGTCAAACCTTGGTTTGTGCTTTGGAGAAGCTGCG